TATACCTTCTGCCAGAGTTTCTTCTACAGTGACCTGGTGTCTTCCAACAGTGAAAGCCCGTCCGATAAAATTCCCACCAACACCGCTGCTGGATCCAGAACCTCCAGCTCCACCTCCAGAACCGGGTCCAGAGCCCACCAGCTCCCGCCGGGAGTCAAAGAACTTCTTCATGATGTATCAAAGATCCCTTAACTACTAATGTGAGTCTATAAGAAAGTGGGTTGGTTGTTCTGGTGCCAGAGGTCTAGATCGGCTGTGACTGTCAAACATGGACTCGTAGCCTAATTCTGGTTCTGATCACAGCTTAAATGAACCGTATAGCAACAAAAACGTAATAGTAAACGAAAACAAACGGTATATGTGCTAAATTAATCACAGTTGAGTATATCCAAATAAACAGCTTCTATCAGTGATGGCCTGATATGATTAAAGTGTTTGTCTAGTGTCTACATACGGGACACGGGCCCATATCACGATATAAATACTTAAATCCAGCTGAAATCAATGTAAACATTTAAGCCCTGTTGAAAAATGAACCTTCAACCGTGAAGTGAAGACAAATTATTGTTTTGATGGATGAAAGTCAAACTCTCCATCACCAGCCAGCTGTGCAGCTCAGTAGAACATCTGAAAACACCCACTTTTCGCCATAAAAGCAGATGACATGCGGGTATTAATTAGAATAATAGATCATTTCATTTGCTAAACGTCCATAATCATATTAATTCGTCTCTTGCTTGATGAAAAAATAATAATTTAAATTCAACAAATACTCAGCTAGGCGCTAACGCTAGCATTCAGCATTGGAGAACCTGCTTCAAAAGCTACTATAATACAGTAGTAGGAATTATATATATATATACACACACACAAAACTTCTTCAGGCATTCACAAATACTGGATAAGGATTTTTTTAAATCATTTCTGAGAGACTGGACATTCAAAAATCAATTCTTTCAATTAAATATTGTAAGGCTAAAAAGCTAAACATAATTATTCAGTTTGTTAACTAAAAGGTTGTGGGTTCTAGCCTGCAAGGAAAATATTAAACATCAGTCTGATATACCTTCTGCCAGAGTTTCTTCTACAGTGACCTGGTGTCTTCCAACAGTGAAAGCCCGTCCGATAAAATTCCGCTCTGACTGCCCCTGGAAAACATTTACTTTCATAGTGTGGTATAAAAGTAGCATTATGCTTCACTAAATCTCCTTTTGAGGAAGAAAGAAAATCAACATGTTTAAAGCAACATGAGGGAATAATTATAGAATGTTTGTTTTTGGGTAAACTGAGCCCTTAAATTCCTCATTCAAAAATGGATCTTTGAATCAACATCAAGTTAGAATTTATATACACTACTAGTCACAAGTTTGAGGTCAGAAAGATTGTTTTTAAATGTTTTGTCTCTTATGCTCACCAAGGCTGCATTTATTTGATAAAAAATTATAATACACAATATACAGTTTACACATATTAAAATAATAGTTTTCTATTTGTATATATATATATGCAAAGCTGAATTTTCAGCATCATAACTACAGTCTTCAGAGTTATCACATGATCCTTTGGAAATCATTTATTATGCTGCTTTTATCAAAATTGGAAACTATAGGGGAGGGGAATATACAGGTAGACATAATTAACTGCAATCCTTGTTTTGTACTTCTAATTAGTGACCGTTGTTTTGTTTTGATCTCTCCACTGCGCTTCCGCATGCGTCACTTCTGAGCGGCGCATTCGCAGCACTGACCTCATACGTCATCCGCCCGGAACTGCTTCCGTGTACAACAGTGAGCGCAAGCTAGATTAAAGTGATTATTACGTTTTGAATATGGATATTTTTCTTACAAAAACGCATTGGTTCGCCACAGAAGGCCTTTGTTCACTCCCCGGAGCCGTGTGAGACATTTTTTATGGATGGGCACTTTTTATTTAACTTCTTTTGGACTGATGCATGCAACACCCGCTGAGTGCCATGAAACAGCTTGAAAGATCAAAGACAATTTTTTATATAACTCCGACTGGATTCGTCTGAAAGAAGAAAGTCATATACACCTAGGATGACTTGAGGGTGAGTAATGTATGGGCTATTTTTCATTTTTGGGTGAACTAACCCTTTAATATTTGAAAGCACCAAAACAAACATGCCCATACCCCAGCAGGACCAGGATTTTGATATCTCCGCCCCACACGTACGTACACAACCCTGGCAACAACGATGGCGGAATCCGCTATGCCTGCCGGCCTAAGGTATGATGTCATGAATAGGTGAAAGCGTTGTGCGTTACTATGCTAATTCAGGTCGAATGTGTTTGGTAATAGTGTGTTTTAGAAGTGTAAACCTTCTTTTTGATGTTTTGTATCTCCTATATTTTCCTCTTTTTTATCTGCCATCCCTCTCTATCTATAGTCAATCTACTAATATCAGTCCTGTGCACTCTCTTCTCCCTATCATTACAGCAAATGGGACTCATCCCGACACTGTGGTCAAAAGCGCTTTTCAAATATTGCTTAGAGCATCTTTAAGTAAAGGCAAACAGCTGAGAAAGAAAACACACGTGTAACAGCATATTGCAGCTCTCAAAGTGACAGCAGTCATTCATGTTAATCAAACAACAAAAGAGAAAATCTGTCACACGGTCATATTACTCACCCCTATCGGAAACAGTTGTGCTGCTTAATATTTTACTGCATGCATAATAATAATAATTCTAAAATAATCAGTAAAATGCTTTTTAAAACAGTTTTAGATTGTGTATAAGATGTTAGACCGCAGGACATGTCAACACCCAATGTACAGATGAGCAGGGATTTCCAGACAGAGGATTTAGGCCACTAAATAAATCTGCCAGAGGAGTTGAGAAGAGCGCTGAGATCTAACCACAGTTCACCATAAGGCCACGCTACATGCTTGCTGGATAAAATTAGACTATCTGTAACTAACAGCTGTAAAACCCTGAACATCAAGATGATTGAAAAGAAAACATTAAGTAGAGTTATGTCGACCAGGCAGATTGATCATTCAGTATTTGATCATTTGGAAGTGATCAGCATTGGAGAACCTGCTTCAAAAGCTACTATAATACAGTAGTAGGAATTATATATATATATACACACACACACAACTTCTTCAGGCATTCACAAATACTGGATAAGGATTTTTTTAAATCATTTCTGAGAGACTGGACATTCAAAAATCAATTCTTTCAATTAAATATTGTAAGGCTAAAAAGCTAAACATAATTATTCAGTTTGTTAACTAAAAGGTTGTGGGTTCTAGCCTGCAAGGAAAATATTAAACATCAGTCTGATATACCTTCTGCCAGAGTTTCTTCTACAGTGACCTGGTGTCTTCCAACAGTGAAAGCCCGTCCGATAAAATTCCCACCAACACCGCTGCTGGATCCAGAACCTCCAGCTCCACCTCCAGAACCGGGTCCAGAGCCCACCAGCTCCCGCCGGGAGTCAAAGAACTTCTTCATGATGTATCAAAGATCCCTTAACTACTAATGTGAGTCTATAAGAAAGTGGGTTGGTTGTTCTGGTGCCAGAGGTCTAGATCGGCTGTGACTGTCAAACATGGACTCGTAGCCTAATTCTGGTTCTGATCACAGCTTAAATGAACCGTATAGCAACAAAAACGTAATAGTAAACGAAAACAAACGGTATATGTGCTAAATTAATCACAGTTGAGTATATCCAAATAAACAGCTTCTATCAGTGATGGCCTGATATGATTAAAGTGTTTGTCTAGTGTCTACATACGGGACACGGGCCCATATCACGATATAAATACTTAAATCCAGCTGAAATCAATGTAAACATTTAAGCCCTGTTGAAAAATGAACCTTCAACCGTGAAGTGAAGACAAATTATTGTTTTGATGGATGAAAGTCAAACTCTCCATCACCAGCCAGCTGTGCAGCTCAGTAGAACATCTGAAAACACCCACTTTTCGCCAGAAAAGCAGATGACATGCGGGTATTAATTAGAATAATAGATCATTTCATTTGCTAAACGTCCATAATCATATTAATTCGTCTCTTGCTTGATGAAAAAATAATAATTTAAATTCAACAAATACTCAGCTAGGCGCTAACGCTAGCATCCCTGCAAAACCCGCTCAGACGCGTGACACATCTCCTCTGCGCGCTCCGCCGGTGGCCTGCCGGTGAACGGTGAACGGGTGCGGTTTGATTTTAATCGGACAGAATCAAATTCAGGCAGAAATGAGCGTGTTGTTCATGGCGTTTCTCGTCTGCGGCTTCGGATGCTGCAGATGCGCCAGCTAACCGGAAACCACACCGGAAGCGTGAAGCTAGTGCTATTAAAAACTATAATAAAAGTTTAAGATTCTTAATAATTAAAAGTCGTTTCTCCACCTTTCAGCAGCAGGGCAGAGGAAAAGGCAGTGAAAATGTTGACCTTGGGAGGTCAAATTAAATATTATATGAGCAGAATTAATTCTGCTTTATTTGTACGAGTTTTACCCAGTCTTCAAAATGTGGGACATGCACATATAACATAGTCTGATAGAAGCCTTGAAACATTTATCCCGATTGTAAGGTTTTGGAAAGACATTAAATTGTGCTTTTGTCAAGAGGGGAACGAGTGCATTATCCCAGCAGCCATTTATTGTATCACTGTACTTACCAAAAACCTTTTTATATTGAAATATTTGCCCATTCTAAAATTGAAATAGGTCACTACCTTCATACTTTAACAGCAAAACATATTGTACATTACCGCAAAGCCTTAAATCTCTTCTTTGACTGATTGATTCACGATGCACAGCATGATTATGATTAAAGACGAAGAAACTATGAAAGAGGTTTATGTGAAGGAGGGGTGCTTTTAATTTTGTCAACCAAGAAGGAGTGCAGTAACTCCCTATGCAAATATGAGTTAACATTGTCACTTGTCAGCTTTATAGTTACAAAATTAGCCTACGTTTTTTGTTGCCAGATGGAAGATAGCTGGCAGCGTTCTACTTGTCTTTATCCGTGATAGAACATTTGCACCTTCTATATCTTACGTCAAAAATACTTGGAAAACCCACGCGACAATAGAGTTTAGAGAAAAGGGTAATTAAAGAAACTTTTGAAATTGACTATAAGCACAGCTGAGACGTGACAGAGTTAAAAAGCTTCAGTAAGTACATGAATGTGCGGGTGAAAAATCAGCAAACTGTTATGAACTGTTCAATCTCTCATCTCAGCGTAATATAAAGAGGAGGGGCCGTAAATGAGGAACTGTAACACGATTCTGTCCATACAGGCCAACACCCACAAAAGTTGGCAACAAAACTCAGAAAGATTCTCGCAAATCTCCACGTCCATTCAGAGGAACGGGTGCCGTGCATCTCTGAATCCAGCGCTTCAGCAGGTAAGACGAGAAAAACTCCCACCCGCTTTCCTAAAAATAAATGACTTCGCTTTCATGTTATCCGCTCTATAACGAATGGTTATAATATCAATTTACTCATTTAACAGGCGAATAGAAATCACGCAATGGAAATCAAACTTAATCGTGGATTAAAGCTTGTCTGTAAAATGGAGTTTTCTCTCCTAACGTTTTTGCCACAGCACTGAACGCCCATATTCCGTCACGTGACTCCACACTGCTCAACATGATCCCTTCAAATGTGGCTTTCATTAAAATACAATGAGTCATATTGCTTTGCATGGCAAATTAATTAGACCACATGCTTTACAAACACAAGACAATGACCTAGATCTAGTATAGTCAGCAAGGAAGGATATAACCACAAGAGGGGAAAAATGAATTCAATCTCTTTATTATAGGCCTATATTGTTTCTCCTAGATCAGGAGTTTTGATATTTTTGAGACTATAAGGACCTCCAAATATGATCATTTCCTTGTGAAGGACCCTCTTATTAAAATATAAAAGCAGCTGTATGTTTTCACACACACACACACACATATATATATATATATATATATATATAATCTATTTAGGTCTGTACTGTGTGTGGAAAATATTAAATGCAACATAAAGACAACAAAATCAAATAATTGTTTACAAAATTAAATAATTGGCTTTTGCACTGCGATGATTTTATAAATGAACTGTTAAAATATGATCTGAAGAATGTTTACTTTTTATTAAGTTGACTGCAAAAAAAAATGTATGTTCATTTTAGATATGCAAATGCTTCTGATGAACAAATATTGCACATATCTTGATTTTTGACCAGTCTTTAAAAAAAGCAGAATTACATACTATTGCATTTAGTAAATGTTGACATAAAAAAATTGTTAAACGTATTTCACTCATATACCAAACATCAGAGATTGGAATATGGACTTTTTATTCATGTAATACTTACCATCTAGGCTATTATCTGCATGTCTAAAATCTTGTTTCGGTTTTAATTTCTTCAGAGGAATCGGTAACACTTTATTTCGATAGTCCACTTTAGACATTCTATTAACAGTAAGTAACTTTGCAACTACATGTCAACTAGCAGTTAGTAGAGTATTAGTAGACTGTCTGCTTAATATCTTCTAACACTTTCTTTGTCAACTTATTCTACAAACCCTAAACCTACCCTAACAGTCTACTCTGAGAGTTAGTAGACATGTAGTTGCAAATTAATGAGAATTAGTTGACATGTAGTTACAAAGTTACTTATAGTTAGTAGAATGTCTAAAGTGGACTATCTTATTAAGGAATGGAATCTTATTAAGTTGCTGACTAAACTGAGAACTCTCACGTGCAATAACATAACAATTTCTTTTGGGTTCTAATTTGCGGGTTACACTGGTAGGCAGATGCTGAGCTTTCTCAAATAAGAGCTAAATCTTTCATATGAAACACTGAAATGCATTTTGAATGTCAATGAATTAATCTCTGATAGACTGATACTGAGGCTCAATCAAAAGAGGTTTGTGAACAGTGTTGCAGTTGCACAGCACGAGTCAAACATAATGTCGACAGGATCTTTGAACATACAGCACACTGTATGCAAAGAATAAATGATTAAAAGATCTTAAATGATGCACTATATTGTCATGGGGCCGCTGTCAGTGTTAGAACACAATGAAGTGAAAACTGAGAGACTGTCAGATGTCTCTGCGTTTTGAATGAGGTCTTTTAGGGGTTAGAAAAGATTGTAAGTTTATTGTTTCAAAGGGGAAACTGATACTGAGCATTAGGCTGTTAATTACTGGTTGAGGCTCTTCTGCTTAATGAGCTGAATAGTAAAGTGGAAACCATTTTGCTAGTGCATCCAAAGGTGTTATTTATTTAGTAGTGTCATTAACCCTGTTATTAAGAGCTCAGTCCTAAATGTCACTTAAATAAAACCCAAACAAACTGGCACGCGTTTTCTAAAATCGTTGTATGCCTGAGTAGATCAAAGAAACCAGTGACACCAATAGGATTGGAATTTAGGATTGCAACGCTTTTGGGAAATGAAGGCCTGGTCTGTTTCATTGCTATATGTGTCAAAATAAAACTTTTTTGTTGTTGTTGTTGCTTGTTTGTGGCTTTCAAAGACATATATTATAAATGCATGAAACCAAATTGATTATAACAAACCACTTTTGCATTTCGTCAGTTTAAATAATATTTGTTTTATATGTACAGTTGCATATTTAATGCTTCCATATATTTAACACATTTTTTATTTCTTGCCTTTAGTGTTCTCATCTCCTCATCTCAAAACTTAAACCTTTCCTCCATCACAATGGCAGCGGTAAGAAAAGTATTTTGAATGTAAAAAGAGAGACATTGTTACTATCATCTTTTTTACCATTCTCCTAAATATTTGATGCATTTAATCACACTTCTAGATGATGCAAAGGCAATTCATTTTACTGTTTCATTATCACACATTTGGTTCATTCTCATTTTCCAGTCAAAAGTCTGGCAAATAATGCTTGAAATTAAGTTAGTACTATAACTGAATGTATGTGAATTTTAAAAGGGTGGCAACTTTTAAATAAGCTCAAATATAAGGTTGTAGAAAATAGTTATGTGAAAAATAGTCACAATAAAAAATGTGTTTGGGGTTAGTATTTTTTTGTAAATTACTTTTATTCAGCAAAGATGGATTAAATGAGACAGTAAAGACATTTATAATGTTCCAAAAGTTTTATATTTTAAATAAATGCAGTTTTTTCGAATGTTCGATTCATCAAAATACCCTGCAAAGGTGTATCATGATTTTGACAAGAAATATTAAGCAGCACAACCGTTTTCAACATGAATAATAAGAAGTAATATTTCTTGAGCAGCAAATCAGCTTATTAGAATGATTTCTGAAGTATCATGTGACACTGAAGACTGGAGTAATGATGCTGAAAATGTAGCTTCACGATCAGGAATAAATTACTTTTTAAAATATATTCAAATAGAAAAGTTATTTTAAATTGTATTCATGTTTAACAATATTACTCTTTTACTGTATTTTCGAAATGCAGCCTTGGTTAGCATAAGATAATTTAAAAAATTTCTAAATTAAAATAATGTAGAATTACATTAAATTTTACTGTTTGAGAAATGTTTTGCCTTTGACACAATCTGAGCCTAAAAAAATATAAGTTGTCAAGCAGCCCTGTGACAGCAACTCTAATTTCCAGGTGTCATTTTATCCTTCGGTTTTGCACTTGTTAAATCTGTCTAAAGGTGGTGTTATCTCTTCTTTGCTGTAGTTGGGCAACCGAGGAACTGTGACTGAGGCATCAGGCTTCAACCCAGAGGAAGATGCCCAGAAAATCTATAATGCTATGAAAGGAGCCGGTAAGTGAGGGGACAAATCAGAACCGGGCTTCAGGAAGAACGTGTTTTCTTTTTTAATAAAATGAGAATCATCTCCTGGTTGCATTTTAAATGATGCAGCAAGTTGATTTCTTATCAGGTAGATCAGAGAACTACATCTCTCTTCATTTCCAATTAAACCTGCAAGCTGTTCTCAGCGCTGACACCTGTGGTTTAGCTGCGCTTTGGTCCAATGCAGAGGTTGATTCTCTGGCATTCGTCATGTAACTGAAAAGGTGTTTCCTCATTATTGTAGACTGGAGCTTGGCATGTTGATGAGAATGCTGAGTTCTAGTTAAATGGACTTCAGTGTGAGGTGCTTGTGTCGTCTGACACAGGCTCACTTGTTGGCCTTAAGTGAGTTATGAGTAACATGCAATTTGATACATTAAATAACAGTGAGCTTATGATTCTGAAAGTGTCAAAATAAAATTAAGTTTTTAGAAAAAATTATAAAATTAAGTTTAATTTTTAAGAAAAAAAAGTGTCAAGAAAATTAATCTCTTGCCATTTTACAAACAAGCATGTGATGTACACTGTAAAAAATGATTGTGATTTTAACAGTGAAAGACTGTAAAAATGCTACAGTAAAAACCTGTTAACAGTAAGTTTCCATACTATATTCAGTGAATAAATGCAATTACATTTAATGTAATTTTACAGTATAATACTGTTAAAAATACGGTTTTTGGAAGTGAAAAGGAAAGTCATTGTATAATTTACAGTGAAAAACCATAAATTGACACTCCCAGAATTCCCTGCATGACACTTCATATTTGATGTTTTTTTTGTTGAAATAACATGTTTCTTCTTAGTTTTTTTCTTATCAGTTGTGTACATTAGGGTTTAATCTTACATCTAATGTTGTTAAATTAATGTTTATTGCATTATTTCAGTATCATGTGTCACCGTGATGGGGTTTAGTGTTTGTGTGAATGATACTGTGCCCCTTCTATACATAAGTACTGCCCTCCTCAGCTCATAGAAAAGAAGCTATTTGTGAGGAGCTTTGGTTCGTCATGTGACTTTCTCATCACCACCAGTTTTTTGGTGCATTCAGTGCATTACAATGGTTCAAAACAGATATTAGTACTTCAATACGTTGGTTTATTAACATTACATTAGTTAATGAAATACGGTATTTTAGTTTGAATTTAAGTCATGTAATTTGATACTTTAAATAACAAGCAGCTTGTAATTCCGAAAGTGTCAATGTATATGCAGATGTGAAATTGAAAATTGTCATCATTTACTCAAGCTCACGTCATTCCAAACCTGCAACCCTTTTTCCTTTCTTCCATGGAACATAAAAGTAGTTTTTTTTACAATTCAAAAAAAAAAAAAAAATCACTATATATATATATATATATATATATATATATATATATATATATATATATATATATATATATATGTGTGTGTGTGTGTGTGTGTGTGTGTTTAAGATAATATTATATTATTAAATAAGACATTTATAATGTTACAAAATATTTCAATTTATTTAAATGTTTTTTTTTATCATGGTTTCCAAAAAGCAACATTGATAATAAGAAAAAATATTTCTAAAATTACATTTTAAAATATATGAAAATACAAATGTTGTATGGCAAAATGTAAAAGTGAGAGTAAATTATTATTTAACAATATTAGTGTGTTTCTAGTGTGTTATGGTGACGATGACAAAAGAGAATGTGGTTATCAGGTGATGCAAAATGGTTAAATAATTGGTTTGACCAAATAAGGTTGACTAAATTATCACATTTTTTTATGAACTTGCTTTAACCAAAACTGAATGAATTCCAGGTACCAACGAGGCGACTATCATTGAGATCCTCGCTCATCGCACTATTGCACAAAGGCAGAAAATCAAGGAGGCTTTCAAACAGAGCGTGGGAAAGGTAATATACTCCATACTTTAATTTAACCAACAGTTGTCATTCTGTGCTGTAACATCTATAAAACTCTGTAGCCCATCATTAACAGATCTCACTTTGGACCAAAACAACACGTCTTCCTGGTCGAAATTAGGGAAGCTTGTAGTCGTGTTCTTATCTTTGTGGAAGGTCCTAATGGCAGGGACGGTGTGAGCAACCGTCAGGTTGTATTTACATAAAACATACGGTTCACAAGGTGATTAGATAACGGTGTTGACAATTCTTGATGAGTCTGTAGTCAGTTTGGAGATAGACAAAGCAGAGTATGAATCACTGATAAGAGATGCTGTTGACCGGCTCCAATCATTAACTCTTCAGTGGACACAGTGAGGGAACAGAGAGTCCATCTACAAACGGTGTCTTTCGGGAGACATCCCTGCTTTATGACTGTTATCAGAAGCAGGTATAAAGAATGCAGCATTGACTTTTATTGCACTTCCTGGTGGTTGCCCTGGCCTCGATTAATCTGTAAACCTCTGTAACTATGTAAGCCGCTCAGGGAAACCAGAATCAGTAAAGGTCACGGTCATGTCTTGCTGCTTATGTTAATGGAAACACTGACTGACTACAGCGCTGTCTACATAGCAAGAAAGTGTGAGTCATTGTGGGGGAAGTTCTGGACAGCGTTCAGGACGGTCTCGTGGAGACGACATGCCTTCCCCACCCAGACTTACAGCAGATATTACAGTTTTGGTTTGCAACAGAACAATATTTCCTTACACCAAATCCATTTGTTTCTTCTGTGATGTAAGATGTGGAAATGAAACTTAAAGCATGAATAAATATATATCTAAGAAGTAATGTTTGGATTTCAAGCTTGAAAGCCCTGGGTTTGTGTGCTGTCTGTGCTATTTCAAAAACAAACTAACACCGTTTTCTCATGTAGTAAATCACACTATTTTAAAATGCCTATTCAGGAACTGCTTGACTGCTTGAAGTCAGAGCTTACAGGAAACTTTGAGATGATTGTGGTCGGCCTGATGATGCCCGCCCCGGTGTACGACGCATATGAGCTGAAAAACGCCATTAAGGTCAGTACTGGGAAATTTGTGAAGCAACGCCCGTTATGGTATTTTATTTTTCACATGAGAGCATTTTTACTTGAATGTGCAATGCTTCTGGTGTCAAACACTTCCAGCTGTTTTAACTGTCCAAAAACAGCCCGTTATGCTGCTTCATGTTGCAAACTGGTATTTCTTATAATATTATATTAATTTATTATTCTAATTCTAAACACTGGTTTGTAGCTCAAATAGTTTTAGTTTACTTCTTGTAATTATATAACTTACTTCCACATCTTAAAATAACAAACTGGCATTACCATTGTTAGACAAACTATCAATCCAATCACTATATATATATATATATATATATATGTGTGTGTGTATGTGTGTATATATACAGTATATATATATATATATATATATATATATATATACACATACATACATATAGTATAATATAATGCTGCTATGCTCTGCCTTGACACAGTCAGATCAGGGCAGCATTATCTTTAATAAAAAAAAAAAAACCCATACTCGGAATTTGTGCTCTGCATTTAACCCATTCAAATACAACAATATAACAATATTATAATATTGTAAAAAAAGACAGTACTCAGATCTTTTTTGACAATGTACAAACATAACTATCACAATTAAGCATTACTCCTAAAAAATCCACAAAATGGCTACATTTTCATTGTTTTGAAGTGAACATTCTTTAATTTAGGTAACAATGGAAATAAAAAAATATCTAGTTCTAACATTGGATGGTGTCCGTTTTTTCCGTGTTGAAAAATAAGGTGTCCTCTGATCACTGTCAGCCTTTCACATGCCTTTTCAAAAATAGACTTGGTTTGTCGGCGCCGATAGCCTCGTGGGCAACGTGCCGCCATACAGCGCCGTTGTGCTATGGGTCCCGAGTTCGAATCCTGACTCACAGACCTTTCCGACCCCCCTCTCTCTCCTGTTAGATATAGATTGGCCTATCGTAATAAAGGCAAAAACGCCAAAAATAAATCTTTTTAAAAAAATGTATTTGTTTTTTTGGTAATGTACAGTACCTTGGTATTGTTTGAAGTACATAGGTGTACCATAACATATAAATAAAATAATACATGAATATAGTGGTACCACTCCAATACTTTTTGTGAGTTTGTATATATATATATATATTGTTTTTTTAATATTATTTTTGTCACTGATCACAAAATCTTTGACCTTTGTCCAGGGTGCAGGGACAGAGGAGGCATGTCTCATTGACATCCTGGCCTCAAGAAGCAAAGCTGAGATAAAGGAAATCATTGCTACTTACAAAAAAGGTACATACACACTACAGCTCACACTTGGATATGCACTTTTGCAGTGTAAAAAATATACAGGTCTCCTTGTATTACACTGTTTTCAATTACTTTTCTTGTGCTGATGATGTCATTATCGCAGAACATGGCAAGAGTCTTGAGGACGATGTCTGCGGCGACACATCTGGAATGTTCCAGAGAGTTTTGGTGTCTTTACTCACGGTAAATAAATCACCTGCATTATCTTATTTGTGGAGAAGATTATTTGATGCCTTTACTCGTCACCTCTTTCGTTTGCCATGCAAAACTTCACCATCCACAGTGTCCAGCCAGGGCAGGTGTGACCCCTGATAGTTTGGCATATGGGACGTATTTGATTATAAGTCTGCTTTGATTATAGGCTGGGCGTGACGAGAGCACCAAGGTGGATGAGGCTCAGGCCGTCCAGGATGCAAAGGTGAGGATTTTGGTGTGGTTAGCAGTAGCTTTTGGAGTAATAAGCACATGTTCAATTTTTGTGGTGTAATGGGTTCTGATTACCTTAAAGGGTTAGTTCACCCAAAAATGAAAATTGGCTTGTGTTTTACTCACCCTCGAAGCATCCTAGGTGTATATGACTTTCTTCTTTCAGACCAATCCAGTCGGAGTTATATAAAAAATTGTCCTGGCTATTCCAGGCTCTATCATTGCAGTCAGCGGGTGTTGCAGTTGAACAGTCCAAAAGTCGTCAAATAAAGCGCGCACATTCATAATAAAACGTGCCTCACACGGCTCCGGGGGATGAATAAAGGCCTTCTGTAGTGAATCCATGTGTTTTTGTAAGAAAAATATCCATATTTCAAACGTAATAAACACTTTTCTCTCACTTCCGTTTTCTGTCATACGGGGAAGCCGTTCCGGCGGAAGGTGTATGATGTACGTGTAGCGCGCGTGCCTCTGAGATATGCTAGTCTCGCGAGTTTGTTTATAGGAGCAAAGGAACTTTAGCAAAGGAAAACCAGTCTCCTCTTGGTTTATATCAAAATCCTCCGGCATTTTTCTTTGCAAATCTTCGGTTTGTACTTCTAATTCGTGACCGCCGTTTTGTTTTGTTGTCTCTCCGCATTCGTCACTAATCACTCTACGCCGACGTCCTACGTCATCCGCCGGAATGGCTTCCTCGTTTGATAGTTGGCGGAAGTGATAGAAAAGTGTTTATTACGTTTGAAATATGGATATTTTTCTTACAAAAACACATGGATTCACTACAGAAGGCCTTTATTCATCCCCGGGAGCCGTGTGATGCACGTTTTATTACGGATGCGCGCGCTTTATTTGACGACTTGTGGACTGTTCAACTGCAACACCCGCTGACTGCAATGATAGAGCTTGGAATAGCCAGGACAATTTCTAATATAACTCCGACTGGATTCGTCTGAAAGAAGAAAGTCATATACACCTAGGATGCTTCGAGGGTGAGTAAAACACAAGCCAATTTTCATTTTTGGGTGAACTAACCCTTTAAACTGAGTATTACTTTGACATTACTTGCTTAGCAAATCCAATGCGATTTGGCAATAGTAGCGCTTCAGTAAACAGCGACCCCCAAATCTACTGGACATGTCAAAAACACTTCAATTATTTTGATAAAATACTTCTGACAAAACCTATAGCGTTCATCATTGTACAACTGACTTAAGTGAAGTTTCAAGAGCATTAAGTACAAACAAAAACACAACATTGAAAGCTGATTTGCTTATAAAATATAAGCTTGTATTATATAAAAACGATTCATACAAATAATTTGTTTGGGAATCGGTTGGACTGCACTAGTGGCTCTCTTAAGTGTTTTATCCACTTAAATATCCATTTCTTGCAAATCGCACTGCACTGCTTGTGCTGCATGCTTCAGATTCAAAATAATTGCCTTCATCGAGTATTCAGACTACACTGGTTGCACTGTGTGTTTTTGATTCTTGAAAAGAACCGGCTCATAAGAGTTGTTTGTTCGGAAAACAGACTACACTGGTCGTGCTGTATTTTTTTGATGTATTGATAATAACCAGCTCATAAGAGTCATTCACTATGGAATCCGCCTACAGTGGCCACGGAAAAAGTGTTCTTGTGATGCCTTTCTTTAGAATAACTAGTGTTTATATGTTATCTAATGTAGTGACAGATTTATGTTTGGCTGAGGTTTGTAAATACGAATTGGGCCTCTGTATATTCTCTGTATTTACAATTCTTCAATGGACATTTTTCTGTATATATAGTCAGTGTCAGCAAACTCCTTTATAATGTATGGGGTTCAGCCTTAGGCACACAACAGTCATGTTGATGTTCATTAATCATTAACAGTATAAAAGGAAATTGCTCAGATAAAATGCTCTTATTGTTTCTCATCCAACAGGACATCTACGAGGCGGGCGAAGCTCACTGGGGAACAGATGAGGTCAAGTTCCTCACTGTGCTGTGTGTGAGGAACAGAAATCACTTACTTCGAGGTATGTGTGCACGCCAGATAATAACAGAAACGCTGCTTCCCAGTCAAGTGACCGTTCTTACGTAACAACAGTAGAAAACAGCACAGTGGGAAAATGACCTTGGGAGAATGAAGTAGACTCATTACTTCCACCTTCTGGTGACAGGATGTAAATAAAGTTAGTTTGGAATAGACATCTCAGCCAATTCATTTAAATTTTGCGCAGTACTCTATTTTACAATTATGTATATACTATTATAGTTTTTATTAATATTTTGAATGAGCATTTTACATTTTCAGTTTAATTTCAATTTAATTTGAGTAGTTTTGTTATGTGTTTTTGTAATTTTTGTTAGTTTATTATATAGGATTAATTAACATGTACATGATTAGTTATATTTTTCTCCTCCTTCACTCATTTTATTTAAAAATGCATAATGACCATTTATTTAGCTGTTCATTTTAACTAGATCCTGCTAATTGAATTAGACGTGCAAGATCATGTGACAACTATAGCGTTTGAAACTTTGCATATTGCATGCTGATTCAAGTAGTATTACATCCAGCATACTCTCAACCATTTTTCTTTTCCCAGTGTTTCAGGAGTATCAGAAGATTTCTGGGCGGGACATTGAAGACAGCATAAAGAGGGAGATGTCTGGCTGCCTGGAGGATGCATTTCTGGCAATAGGTCAGTTGTGAGTATTGCAATATTTCAATTATCGTCACATTTTCAATTGCATACTGGGATCTAAAGAGCATCTCTTAACCTTTGCAGTGAAATGCATGAAAAACAAGCCTGCGTTTTTTGCTGAAAGGCTCTACAAGTCAATGAAGGTAAATGAAAACCACGACTAATCTACTTTTTGCACACATTAGGGATATGATCAGTACAAAAGCCATATTATCTTTTGTTTCTCGGCTCTTAGGGTTTAGGCACCACGGATAGCGTGCTGATCAGGATCATGGTGGCTCGTGCCGAGATCGATATGCTCGACATCAAAGCAGAGTTCCTCAAGATGTATGGAAAGACCCTTCACTCCTTTATAAAGGTGGGACACAGCTGTTTCACTGAGAATATTTGACTGAACACGTTATTTGAAAGCCGTTAGCAACATATTACCAAATATACTCTAACACAATACCTCAGGGATGAAGCAAAGCCAAACTTTTAAAGGAATAGTTCACCCAAAAATTGCTGAAAATGTACTTATTCAGTGTGTAGATGAGTTTGTTCATAAAAACAAATTTGGATACATTTTAGCATTACATAATTTGCTCACCAATGGGTCCTCTGCAGTGAATGGGTGCCGTCAGAATGAGAGTTCAAACAGCTGATAAAAACATCGCAACAATCCACAAGTAATCAACATGACTTCAGTCCATCAATTAACATCTTGCGAAGTGAAAAACTGTTTGTAAGAAACAAATCCATCATTAAGACGTTTTACATTTAAACCGTTGTTTCTAGCCAATTTATGAGCCCAGAATCTATAATAACACTTCTTCCAGTGAAAAAGTCCATTGTCTGTTGTTTTCTCACATCAAATCCCTGACATATTTGTTTAGAACTGTTTTGACTTGATCTGTGCCTATTTCTCTCCTGATTCAGACGAGAAGACTTTTTCCCTGTAGTAAGGAATATTATGTTTAGAGAACTTGTATTTTAGCTGGAATCAATGGCTTTAAATAAAAAATATCTTGATGGATTTGTTTCTTACAAACACGCAGCTTTTTGCTTCACGAGATGTTAATTGGTGGACTGGAGTGGTGTGGATCACTTGTAGATTATTGTGATGTTTTTATCAGCTGTTTGGACTCTCATTCTGACGGCACCCATTCACTGCAGAGGATCCATTGGTGAGCAAGTGATGTAATGTTAAATTTCTCCAAATCTGTTCTGATGAGGAAACAAACTTATTCACATCTTGGATGGCCTGAGAGTAAATACATTTTCAGAAAGGTTTCATTTTTGGGTGAATAATTCCTTTAATTTCAACTAATTTTGCAGACAAACGCAAAAATCCCCACTAAAAGCACTACTAAAGGCAGTACTAACATTTAACCCATCATGAAACTCTGTTCTGTTTGTGTTCTAGGGTGACACGTCGGGCGATTACCGTAAGATCCTATTGGAGCTGTGCGGAGGGGAAAAGTAACACGTTGGCCGTGTTCATTAGCGTGAAACGCTCTCTCTCACACCAGGCCTACAGCATTTCAAGCACATTCCTTGTTTGTAATTAAAACCAAACAGTGATGTTTTAAATGAGATTCATGACTTTGTTTTGTTTATTGCCTTGGAATTTAATGGGAGTCTTATATAGATTGGCACATCTTAGTGTTTGTCAAATAAATAAAAGGAGAAAAAAACAACCTGTATTGATTGTATCGATCTGTTGTTGTCATGTTGGATATTTTTTCAATCTCAGCACACTCATTGAGGTCCATTTGTGTAATTACTCTCGAGTATAATTTGTTTAATGTACAACATCCATGTGTGCTTGGTCCAATTATACTAATTGCTCGTGGCTGTTTGCATAAGTATATGAGATCAGCCGTAGTTTCTCTGTTTTTCTAGATTGCAGGTTTCACAGACTACCTGCCTCAATTTAATCAAGTGCAACATATGAATCATATGAGTGAATGTGGCATCTGTTAAAATTGTGGGAAAAATGACTGACAAAAAAAAACAGTGTATTTAAAGTTTTACCACTGAGTGGCGCTATGCACATATTCATGTGCGCAGGTGTGTGTCACAAAGATTATTATTATTTTTATTCTTGGATGGACTTATCATATTTTGTATGTCTTATGAAACAGAGAAATAAAATAAAAAACACTTAGTAAGTAAAAGGAAGTGCTTAACCTTCAGTCAGTGTCGACTGTCCACAAGCCAAATATTATATAATCTGTAATTATTTTATTTTAGGACATATTTTATCTAGCAATAAACAATAAAACATATAAATGTATTTTTAATTACTTGAAAATAGGGTTTGGTTATTTGTTTGTTTATTTACTTATTTGAGGACAAATCCTTTTTCTTGCTTTGGTAGTTTCTCATTTAAATAAAAAAATCTAAATATATAGACATATATTTAAAAAAAACGACTAAAATGACAAAACACAACATTACTAAATGAAAAATTAAATAAATAAAATGACTAAATAAAAACTGAAAATATTAATAAAAACTATAAAAGTACCTCAGTGATATTAAAATAACACGGCTTTAAAACCGGTATTGTATTGTTAACTAACTAAATGAATACATGTATAAATTTAGTTATGTGAGGCATAATCCTTTTTCTTAATTTTGGTAGTTTGATAATTTAAAAAAAGTATTTGAAATACGATTACGTCAAATAATAATATTACAAAATTATACTTGCTGTGTATGACTTATCCATACTTATCCAGTACGGTCGTAAGACCACTCTTTTTTCAAACCAATTTGTATCATATTCATGGAAAACACCTGATAGAAACAGACAAGAGATGTTCACAAGTCTTTAACTTGGAGTCTGAGTCAAGTCTGAAGTGTTTATCGCTGGAGTCCGAGTCAAGTCTGAAGTCTTTATCGCTGGAGTCCGAGTCAAGTCTGAAGTCTTTATCGCTGGAGTCCGAGTCAAGTCTGAAGT